GTTGTAGATTTTAAAACCGTGCAGAGATGTCCTCGTAGAATAGAAGAAATGGAAAGAGGATGCATCAGATGGGAAAGTGTCAAACATAAGGAAGAGGGGATTTTGTGGGGGTGGGGTAGAGAATGACATAAAAAGGCATACAGGTACTCCTCTACTTCCAACCGTTCGTTTAGTGACTGTTCCAAGTTACAATGGCACTGAGAAAATTTTCCCTCTAACTCTGGACTGAAGTAAGCCCCTTTGCTCCACCACAAACTAGCATTAGGAAAGCTACAGGGTCACCTGCCTTAATTCTTTTGCCAATACCGTGCTTACATTTCTAAGAATTTGACGCAGGCTTTGTGCCCATAGATTTCTGCAATTCTTCTTGGGACATCTCCATAGAGATCTGGGGCATCCATCGGTGCGTGCAAGGAGTGCAGTGTTCTCAACACGCCCAGTTGCCCTGATTCTGCAGCAAAATGAACTGGAGTCCAACCTGCCTCAGTTCGCAAAATCAAGCGAGCACCACGTTCCACAAGCAGCTTTACTATCTTTGAGTGGCCTGTTGAAAATGCAAACAGGAGAGTGATAAGGGACAAGGGAAAAGTAGCAATTCTGTCTTTCCCATTGAGACAGAAGTAGCTCTTTTACACCAGCCTCTGGAATCTCTTGTTTTGGGAAACGTTGTTTTTTTTTTAAATTCGGAGAATTGGGTTTGTTGTGACTTCTTCAAACTATTAATTGGAGAACTTTTTCACATTCTGCATTGGCTGAAATTTTCCTGAATTACCTGAGTGGATATCATGTACTCCATTTTTTAAAAATGTCTATTCATACAAATACATGGTATAAAGTTACATGTCACTTGGCATTTACCTTGTAAACCACAACATATTGGAGATTCATGGTTCACATATTCTAATTTATTTCTATACTTATGGTAAAAGAACAAAAAAAACAACACTCACCAAAAGCCACAGAACCACCATTATAAAAACATTTAACAATAATCTGCAGGAAAAACACTCTTCTTCTCCCTATTAATACAGCTCCTTTCCAAGCACCACACCCACATCCCAGAAAGACTGACTTGTATTCCCCTCTTGAAATCTTTATATTTATCAGTTTCATGAGCACCATATGGAGGTATTATTTACCAATATATATCTAGGTTATTTTTGATGGGTATTTTCATGAATTTAAATAGGTGTCTAAAATATGTAGATTCTTAGTAGGGGAACATGTCTAAGGCAATACTATAGTGATATTTCCTATTGGCTGCCTTCCATCCCCCAGAATCTCTATTTTTAATATCTGGCTAATGCCTTCCATTCGATATTATGCCTATAAACCCCATTGCATTATATCCACACTCAACTGATGATGGCCAAGACCAGCCCTTATTTGTTCCATTACTCACCAGTCTACTTAATATGGCAACTAGATGAAGCACAATCTTATTGGGGAAATACCTTCTGACTCTTGTGTAAAAATTCATAGATGTGGTGGATGCCACAGATAAATGCCATCTCTTTTGTCCCAACAATTCCTTGCCTAACGGCTTGTGGTCCCTGGCAAGTTAGGCCTTCGTCCACGCTTGACACAGTGTATTTTGCATTTAAATCATAGGACTTGTCATTAGAGGTGTTATCATGTGTTGGCATTGCTTTTATGCCCAAAATTGTATGCTAAGCATAGCATTTTTTTTCCAGATCAAATTTAAACTTTAAGACTGCAAACACGATTCTGGGTAGCTAAGACCAATTTTTAAAAAGCAGACCAAAGCTAGAATCCGTTCTCAGCATTCCAAGGACGCTTCTATTGAAGATTTGGGAGATGGGCAGGGAGGGGGACATGCTTGGAGCAGAGAGTCCCCATCCAGCCATGCCCTGTTTTTGGCCTGAATGGCCTCCTGCATTTTGCAGACCAAAACAGGGCATGGGGGGGGGGGGCTGCGCCTTAGTTTGACACCCCTGGACTATAGCAATGAGGTGGATCCCCAGAAGGGAGAGGGTGCATTCTAGAGAAATAAGAGGCGACCCAACCCAGTTATTATGTGTGGGAGAAAGAGGGAAATACAGGCTCTCCCTAATAGTTCACAGAGTATATTGTACAAGTAGATTGTAGGATCCTTAGTCGGCCAATAGTCTAAAGTGTGAAACAGGAAAGAATCTGAAGAATTGTCACGTTATTCTTGTTTTGGACCTGACAATATCCAGGCTTATACTCAGAAGCTTACATAACATTTACTTACAGTATTTGACCTGTAGGAAGACTGCTTTTCCTAAATGATTACCTGCAAATGGCATAGTCTCATTTACATCTACAATATCTATATACTACTACTAAAACGCTCATTGTCATGCCTTTCAACTGGGTAAAATGGCCCATCAGAGTTCTTGAACCAAGGCACTTCAAATGGGCTAATTTATAGAAGGTGTCCAAATCTGGGACCCATGACTCTTAAGAGGATTAAATTAAGGAACGTTGTGGCTGCTTAGTGCTACTGGTTGCTGCTGTGCTGGTGGGCTGATGCTGCAATCATGTGATCTTCATTTTCAGTATTCTATGACAGTTTCCCAGACAATCTCCCAACTCTCTGCTTCTTCCCTACCCAGCGGCCTCCACTAACCTTCCTGCTAGAAGGGAAGGGAAGGGAAGGGAAAGAAGGTTTCTCATGCTCTCTGCCAGCTTCCCATAAAAAAACTCAATGTGGAAGCTAGCAGAAAGTCAGAAGTGTTTCCACTCCCACTGCTTTTTTGCCCACCTATGGTCATTCTATTTCTTTGTTTAGGTAAGGAAATATTTCTGAAATGAACACCCAATGGGGCATGGGTTGTCTAGCCCCTGAGAAAAATAGAAGTTGTAGAAACCAAAGTAATGAACAAAATGAAGATTGAAGATTAAACCTAACGATGATGCTAAAAATGCTGTTTGCCTGCTGAATGTACAGGCAGTCCTCGAATTAAAACCACAAATGAGCCAAAAAATTATGTTGCTAAGTGAGACAGTTGTTTAACTGAGTTTTACCCCATTTTACGATCTTTCTTGCCACAGTTGTTAAGTGAATCTGGCTTTCCCATTGACTTTGCTTGTCAGAAGTCGCAAAAGGGGATCAAATGACTCTGGGACCAGTGGTGGGTTGCTAACAGTTCTCTCCGGCTTGGGCAAACCGGTAGCAGCGGTAGCGGGAGGCTCCGCCCACCTGCCTGGACACTTCTGCACATGCGCAGAAGCATCATGCATGTGCGAACACGCACGCACAAGCGAACCAGTAGCAAACTAAATTGAAACTCACTACTGCCTGTGAAACTGCAACTATCAGAAATTTGAATCAGTTACCAAGCATCTGAATTTTGATTATCTATCTAAGGGATTCGACAATTGTCAGAAGTGTGAAAAACAGTCATACTTTTTCAGTTCTATTTTAACTTTGAATGGTCACTAAATGAAAGTTGAGGACTACCTGTAATCTTTTAATAAGATTCAGAGAGGGCTTTTCTGTTTGTTATTTTTTCTTCATCTCCATTAAGATTTGTTTCGATCTTTTTATTTTCCAGAGCAGTTTCTGTTTCCTCATAGTAGCTTTTCCTTCTTTTTTGTTGGAGGGATGGAAAGGAAAGCATGTATTTGTGTGAGAGAGAATAGTTGGTGTATGGAGATGGGGAATCAATGAACTCTGGGATACTTTATTTATAGGCAATTAATTCCCCAAACTGACTTTTCAAGGCTACCAATGGTGTACCCTTGTCACTGTAATTGAGTCCATCCACTCCCTGTTGATTATCCTCTTCTTCCATTTCCTCTTTCCCAGCCTTAAAATCTTCTCAGGTGAGCTGGGTCCTCACATCTTGTGTTCAAAATTTGAGCCTAGTCATTTGCAATTAGTAAGTTAAAAATTAGTAAATTTCTACTTTATTTTTTGGTGGGCGGGGTCTTCTGGCAGATATATCTACACACACATATAATTGTAATATCTCCACATTAATTGAGGGGCTGAGATTTCAGGATTGGTTTTAGCTGGTGTTGGCCTCCCTTGATTGATAAGATAGAAAAGCTAGCTATGCAGGTGGTTTTGGACTGTATTGATAATTAAGAGACTAAATTATCTGTAGCTCAGAGTTGAATCTTGGGTGCTCTTTGACTTTGCTTCCTTACTTGTCTGCTCTGCAGGTATTTCTTTACCAGACTAGGTAATATATTCAGTACAGTAATTCTTTTCTCTATTCTAACTTTATGGAAGCGGGGTGGTCAGTTTAAATTACAGGTTGCCTTCCTTTGGGGTAAATACTATACATTCTAGCTTCATAGCTAAGCTAGTGTGAAGACCAATGAAAGGGCAAACATTTCTTTTATAAATCCTGTGTTTTCCTAGTTTTTGGCTACTGCTATAGATGAGAATGTGACTTTAATGATCCTAAATCTATTGTCAGAAATACTGAGTGCTGTATCTCATCATTACTATCACCATCACTATTCATTGGTTTTCATGTGGTCACTGCTATGGCTGTCATTGCCCTAAATTCTTGCACAGGACATTTAAACTAAGAGAAAAAGTGGGACTAAAAACACCAGAAGATTATGCTCTTCATATCGCTTTCCATGGGGCAGGAAGAAATCTTGTGCAGTAGATTCACAGAAAAATGGAATTTGGTTAAGATTAGAGCTAGGATGAATGGGTAATATTGATTTTTAAAAGAAAGAAAGAAAGAAAGAAAAGAGAGAGAGAGAGAGAGAGAGAGAGAGAGGAGAGAGAGAGAGAGAGAGAGAGAGAGAAAGAGAATGAATAAATACTATGGCAAAAAGGGAATATATAAATTGTGTTGAAATGACTAAAAATTGTTTAAATTTGTGAACTGGCCAATACTCTATTCAGAAAAAATACATTGTATGTGTGTCTGTCTGTGTGTCTAAAAAATAAAAAAACTTAAAAAAAAAGATTCACAGGGATTGCACAATAGTTGTTAATGGTTACATTAGAATGATGTCACAATGCTTCTGGAGGAAAGCATGACATTTTTCTTCAACTTATATCCATTGAGAATGTATAATAATGATATGCATATAGGAGTAGGAAGGTACTTTATTAGCTATAAATGTAGGAAATAACTTCAATAAGCGTTGTAGACAAAACAAAAACAGCTGCAGATATGACACAGGATAAAAGAGAGAAGATTGGCATCAAAACTAATACTAGCCAAGCCAAAACAAAAACCTGTGATCAAAGGACCAAAAAAAAACTTTCTACCACTCTTTTGTAAGTATATCATTACTTTGACCCAAGGAGAGGGAAGCATTCCTGGTCACTGTTGGGATTCATCTTTCTTGGGCATTTGCCACTTATTTTGAGACTGCATCTAATTCAGTAACAGGGCCTAAAGCAGTGATGGTTAACCTTTTCTGAACTGAATGCCCAAAGCGTGCGCATGCATCCGAATCCCTAAAATGCAGTGTGCATGAGGCCCCTTTGCATGTGCCCTGCACTCAGTGGTGGGTTGCCCCCGGTTCACATTGGTTCTATAGAACTGGTAGTAAAACCAGCGGGAGGCTTCGCCCACTGGCCCTGATGTTTATCAAAATGCTTTTGCGCATGCACAGAAGCTTCTGTGCTTGCGCAGAAGAGCGCGAGTGAAGAGCAGTCCCATTGCAAACCAGTAATAAAGGTAAGTAGAACCCACTCCTGCCTGCACCCCATGCATGCTCACGCCCCCCCCGCATGCCCTCCCCCGCACATGCACGGCAGAAACCCGATGACTAGCTGGCTGGTGGGAGGTATGTGCGCATGCGCAGCAGAGGTGAACTGAGGTGACGGCTCACATTCCAACAGAGAGGGCACTGTGTGCCACTTATGGCACGCATGCCATAGGTTTGCCATCATGGGCCTAAAGGAAGTCCTTTCACTGCAACCCAGATTGAAGGATGTTATTAAATCAGGGCCACATATATGCATGCACCCAAACATGAAAAACACAATAGGCAGACAAGGTGTCCCATGCTGTTGCAAAGACATCTTACCCTGAACTTCTGCTTGCATTTGGAAAACAATCTCAGTTTATGTAGCAATTTCACTGGAACCATGGCAAGGGTTAAAAGGCTGAACTCCCCATTGCTCATGGTAGTCATTTATGCATCCATGTGGTTGCTATTTGCAAAGGTTATTTCTTTCTCTTGGCCACTTAATATTTTAGTTATTTAAGTGAATGAATGAATAGAAAGAATACATATATAAAAATTTGGATTTTTGCAGGAACCTTTTGGACACTGAGGATGAACTTTCTAGTATCCGGTGGGATTCAGTACCTATGGATGTAAAAGAGTGGTTAACAGACACTTTTGCAAAGAAAAAAGAGGCATACAGACTGCAACCTGATGAAATAACAAGCATTCGGAGTATTTCATACGCTTTAGAGAATGGCGTTGTGGTAGAAAGGCAAGCATAGATTGCATAGCAAATTATGAGTTTTTCAGAATATGACCTAAATGATGTAGTTGATAATTAGAAAAATGAATTCCAGAATCAGAGCTGGAATTGACCAGAGTTGTTGTTATGGGAAAAGGAGGAGGAAGGAGTATTATGTATGTTCACAGTCTAATAAATAAATCTACAGTAACAAAAAAAATAAAAAAGATCATCTACTACAGGGATTAAACTGTTTCAGCTTTAGGTAGGAGTGTTAGGGACTAGATCCAAAAATAGTTGATCATGTTTTTTATACCTATATAAACCTGTTCTATAGGTATAAAAAACATGATTCAAAAAAATCTATTTTTTTCAATCTGAGTCCCTAACACTCCTACCTAAAGCTGAAACAGTTTAAATCCCTGTAGTAGATGATCTTTTATATTTTTTTTGTTACTGTAGATTTAATTTAATTGACTGTGAAAACATACATAATTACTCCTTCTCCTCCTTTTCCCATAACAACAACTCTGGTCAATTCCAGCTCTGATTCTGGAATTCATTTTTCTAATACTATCAACTACATCATTTAGGTCATATTCTGAAAAAACTCATAATTTGTATAGCAATCTATGCTTGCCTTTCTACCACAACGCCATTCTCTAAAGCGTATGAAATACTCCGAATGTTGTTATTTCATCAGGTTGCAGTCTGTATGCCTCTTTTTTCTTTGCAAAGAGTTCTTGTTAACCACTCTTTTACATCCATAGGTACTGAATCCCCACGGGATACTAGAAAGTTCATCCTCAGTGTCCAAAAGGTTCCTGCAAAAAATCCAAATTTTTATTATGTATTCTTTCTATTCATTCATTCACTTAAATAACTAAAATTATTAGTGGCCAAGAGAAAGAAATAACCTTTGCAAATAGCAACCACATGGATGCATAAAATGACTACCATGAGCAATGGGGAGTTCAGCCTTTTATCCCTTGCCATGGTTCCAGTGAAATTGCTACATAAACTGAGATTGTTTTCCAAATGCAAGCAGAAGTTCAGGGTAAGATGTTCTTTGCAACAGCATGGGACACCTTGTCTGCCTATTGTGTTTTTCATGTTGGGTGGTGCATGCTATATGTGGCCCTGATTTAATAACATCCTTCAATCTGGGTTGCAGTGAAAGACTTCCTTTAGGCCCATGATGGCAAACCTTATGGCATGCGTGCCATAAGTGGCACACTGTGCCCTCTCTGTTGGAATGTGAGCCGTCACCTCAGTTCACCTCTGCTGCGGCATGCGCACATACCTCCCACCAGCCAGCTAGTCATCGGGTTTCTGCCGTGCATGTGCGGGGGGGGAGGGCATGCGGGGGGGGGCGTGAGCATGCATGGGGTGCAGGCAGGAGTTGGGTTCTACTTACCTTTATTACTGGTTTGCAAATGGGACTGCTCTTCACTCGCGCTCTTCTGCGCAAGCACAGAAGCTTCTGTGCATGCGCAAAAGCATTTTGATAACATCAGGGCCAGTGGGCGAAGCCTCCCGCTGGTTTTTACTACCAGTTCTATAGAAACCAATGTGAACCGGGGGCAACCCACCACTGAGTGCAGGGCACATGCAAAGGGCCTCATGCACACTGCATTTTAGGGATTCGGATGCATGCGCACGCTTTGGGCATTCAGTTCAGAAAAGGTTAACCATCACTGCTTTAGGCCCTGTTACTGAATTAGATGCAGTCTCAAAATAAGTGGCAAATGCCCAAGAAAGATGAATCCCAACAGTGACCAGGGAATGCTTCCCTCTTCCTTGGGTCAAAGTAATGATATACTTACAAAAAGAGTGTAGAAAGTTTTTTTTTGGTCCTTTGATCCACAGGTTTTTGTTTTGGCTTGGCTAGTATTAGTTTTGATGCCAATCTTCTCTCTTTTATCCTGTGTCATATCTGCAGCTGTTTTTGTTTTGTCTACAACGCTTATTGAAGTTATTTCCTACATTTATAGCTAATAAAGTACCCTTCTACTCCTATATGCATATCATTATTATACATTCTCAATGGATATAAGTTGAAGAAAAATGTCATGCTTTCCTCCAGAAGCATTGTGACATCATTCTAATGTAACCATTAACAACTATTGTGCAATCCCTGTGAATCTTTTTTTTTAAGTTTTTTTATTTTTTAGACACACAGGAAGACACACATACAATGTATTTTTTCTGAATAGAGTATTGGCCAGTTCACAAATTTAAACAATTTTTAGTCATTTCAACACAATTTTATATATTCCCTTTTTGCCATAGTATTTATTCATTCTCTTTCTCTCTCTCTCTCTCTCTCTTCTCTCTCCTCTCTCTCTCTCTCTCTCTCTCTCTCTTTCTTTCTTTCTTTCTTTCTTTTAAAAAATCAATATTACCCATTCATCCTAGCTCTAATCTTAACCAAATTCCATTTTTCTGTGAATCTACTGCACAAGATTTCTTCCTGCCCCATGGAAAGCGATATGAAGAGCATAATCTTCTGGTGTTTTTAGTCCCACTTTTTCTCTTAGTTTAAATGTCCTGTGCAAGAATTTAGGGCAATGACAGCCATAGCAGTGACCACATGAAAACCAATGAATAGTGATGGTGATAGTAATGATGAGATACAGCACTCAGTATTTCTGACAATAGATTTAGGATCATTAAAGTCACATTCTCATCTATAGCAGTAGCCAAAAACTAGGAAAACACAGGATTATAAAAAAAATGTTTGCCCTTTCATTGGTCTTCACACTAGCTTAGCTATGAAGCTAGAATGTATAGTATTTACCCAAAGGAAGGCAACCTGTAATTTAAAACTGACCACCCCGCTTCCATAAAGTTAGAATAGAGAAAAGAATTACTGTACTGAATATATTACCTAGTCTGGTAAAGAAATACCTGCAGAGCAGACAAGTAAGGAAGCAAAGTCAAAGAGCACCAAGATTCAACTCTGAGCTACAGATAATTTAGTCTCTTAATTATCAATACAGTCCAAAACCACCTGCATAGCTAGCTTTTCTATCTTATCAATCAAGGGAGGCCAACACCAGCTAAAAACCAATCCTGAAATCTCAGCCCCTCAATTAATGTGGAGATATTACAATTATATGTGTGTGTAGATATATCTGCAGAAGACCCCCCCACCAAAAAATAAAGTAGAAATTTACTAATTTTTAACTTACTAATTGCAAATGACTAGGCTCAAATTTTGAACACAAGATGTGAGGACCCAGCTCACCTGAGAAGATTTTAAGGCTGGGAAAGAGGAAATGGAAGAAGAGGATAATCAACAGGGAGTGGATGGACTCAATTACAGTGACAAGGGTACACCATTGGTAGCCTTGAAAAGTCAGTTTGGGGGATTAATTGCCTATAAATAAAGTATCCCAGAGTTCATTGATTCCCCATCTCCATTACACCAAACTATTCTCTCTCACACAAATACATGCTTTCCTTTCCATCCCTCCAACAAAAAAAGAAGGAAAAGCTACTATGAGGAAACAGAAACTGCTCTGGAAAATAAAAAGATCGAAACAAATCTTAATGGAGATGAGAAAAAATAACAAACAGAAAAGCCCTCTCTGAATCTTATTAAAAGATTACAGGTAGTCCTCAACTTTTATTTAGTGACCATTCAAAGTTAAAATAGAACTGAAAAAGTATGACTGTTTTTCACACTTCTGACAATTGTCGAATCCCTTAGATAGATAATCAAAATTCAGATGCTTGGTAACTGATTCAAATTTCTGATAGTTGCAGTTTCACAGGCAGTAGTGAGTTTCAATTTAGTTTGCTACTGGTTCGCTTGTGCGTGCGTGTTCGCACATGCATGATGCTTCTGCGCATGTGCAGAAGTGTCCAGGCAGGTGGGCGGAGCCTCCCGCTACCGCTGCTACCGGTTTGCCAAGCCGGAGAGAGAACTGTTAGCAACCCACCACTGGTCCCAGAGTCATTTGATCCCCTTTTGCGACTTCTGACAAGCAAAGTCAATGGGAAAGCCAGAGATTCATAACAACTGTGTGCAAGAGAAGATCGTAAAATGGGGTAAAACTCAGTTAACAACTGTCTCACTTAGCAACATAATTTTTTGGCTCATTTGTGGTTTTAATTCGAGGACTGCCTGTACATTCAGCAGGCAAACAGCCACTTTTAAGCATTAGTATCGTTAGGTTAATCTTCAATCTTCATTTTGTTCATTACTTTGGTTTCTACAACTTCTATTTTTCTCAGGGGCTAGACAAACCATGCCCCATTGGGTGTTCATTTCAGAAATATTTTCCTTACCTAAACAAAGAAATAGAATGACCATAGGTGGGCAAAAAAGCAGTGGGAGTGGAAACAACTTCTGACTTTCTGCTAGCTTCCACATTGAGTTTTTTTTATGGGAAGCTGGCAGAGAGCATGAGAAACCTTCTTTCCCTTCCCTTCCCTTCCCTTCTAGCAGGAAGGTTAGTGGAGGCCGCTGGGTAGGGGGAAGAAGCAGGAGAGTTGGGAGATTGTCTGGGAAACTATGGAATGGAATGGAATGGAATGGAATGGAATGGAATGGAATGGAATAGAATAGAATAGAATAGAATAGAATAGCATAGCATAGCATAGCATAATAAGTAGAATGGAATGGAATAGAATAGAAAAAAAGAAAAGAATAAATAGAATAGAATATAGAATAAAATAAAATATAGAATACAGAATAGAATAGAATGCAGAATAGAGTAGAATAAAACAATAACTTTATTGTCACGTTGAAGGTACACTTATCGGCATACATTTAAATGAAACTTCGTTGCACAGAGCTCTCAAAGGGTCACCACCAACATACCCTACATAAACATGACAAAATAAATAAATACAAAATTATGCTTATGCCCACATATATTATGTGACACACAGAGAAACAACACAGACTAATTTGGATATATGCACGTATACGGCAAGAAAAATGAATCTTGCGAGTTTACAAGTTTTTATGAAATAATATTGCTTTTTTTTTTCTTCTTCTTCTTCGTACGGATTGGTGGTTAGCTGAAGAGATCCTCTTCAATATACCATTTAAAAAGAGCAGCCCTACAAAATACAACTAATAGGAAGCAGGTCATTGCAGCTGGTAATCGCAGCTTGGGTCTTTCTGAGCCTGGGTGTATGCTGCGGTGCATTTAGTAAGCTTTGGCTTTAAGGGATACATTAATTAAATTGGATGCATTTGCCCGTCCCCGCCCTGCCCCCGCTCCA